AACTTTAGACAACTCCTAATTTAATTCGCTGTTGAATAGTTCCGTATTCTCTTCCATGGTTGTGGAGAAGAAAGCACTGGTGCACACTTCACTGAAGTTTGCCATCCTTATAGTAAAGAAGAAAATAGGTAGCAGAGTAAGTAACAGTTCAGTGTTGGTAGACCAACTGATACCCAAATTTCAAATAATGTCCGATATTTAAGTCTAACAAAGGATTAGAAATAGAATATAATGAGTAAGTAATTTAAGTAAACATAATCACATTCATTAATGATCAGCTAATGACTGTCATTGTTAAAAAAGTATTTTTTTTTAACTTTTTCACTTTCTGCTATTGTCTTTGTAATATTGTATACGAAGGCGTTTGTGTTGTCGTAGATGCTATCCTTATTAGTCTTTACGTAATATTTAATCCTCGTGGAAGCATGTTTCCAATGATCAGTAGTTGGAATCTTGGATAGCTTCTTCATATCGTACATTTCAATTTTGATGAGATGCGTCTCTGTCGTCAGAATTAGTAGAAATGTATGATACATCATCTCTAGCGGCTCGTGCTACGGTTGATGATAACAGCTGCCTCTTTTTTATTTTTGATTCAGCTTCAAAAAAATGATCAATCGATTGCGATTTTCTTTTTCCGCCATCGCATGTGTTATTATTAATGACGATGTCATCACTCTCTTCTTGAGGGGAGAGTGGCGAGTAGTAATACTGTTTATAGGTATTTTCATCGAAGCTCAATGATTTCTGCAACAACACAGTTATCATGTTAATATCAATTTGTTAACACTTAATCATAAAAGTTAAAAAAGTTAAAGTTACAGCCTATTAAAGTCCACTGCTGAACGTAGGCCTCCTCTCATTTCTGAGAGGGTTTTAGGGCTAGGAAATGTTCGCTGCGCTTCCTCAATGCGTGTTGGCAAACTTCACATGCCTTCGAAATTTTCTCAGACATGCAGGTTTCCTCACGATGTTTTCCTTCACCGCTGAGCACCTGGTAAATCAGCACTTAAAATTACAATTAACAATTTAATTGGTGCCGGTGGGGATCGAACCCGGGTCGCGTACTGTGAAATTTACATTTTGCGCTAACCATCTGAGCTACCACGGCTTAATCATATACACACATAATATTTAAATATAATTTGTTAACACTAATCATACACACGTAAGAAAATAACAGAAAGAAAAGTAAGTTTGTCAATAGAATAAACACTAACATCCATGGCCTTTGATGCGTTGAAGTAACACAAATGTAGTATTGATAGATCGACTGCGGTCAAACGACCATACACTAACTCCATGACTGCAGTTGCTTGGTCTTATATAGTACCAGTGAGTAATAATTCTATCTAAAGAATTTCTGCAGTAGAATTGTTAGTAAATTTATGCGTCAACAAGCTTATCTCACATTCTGTTGTTTATCTCAACATTCCTTCGTCCTTCGTGTCGTGTCTTGTTCAGTGTATTGATGACTCAAATACGTTTTGTATAACACAAAGAATGCAATTTAATATTTAGAAATCACTATAATTGATCATTCCTATGTTAGTCATTGAGTAGATTGGTACTGTAATAATCTACTAATATCAGTAATATCATCGATACACTAGATGTACAACAACATCTGAAAAAGATTCACCCCACTCTAGAAAATAATGTTTATGCTGCCAATAAACTGCCCATGTACACCCACGTACCAACGTATATAATATGCAATTTGGATACAGATGATAAACCAGGGTCACATTGGGTAGCTTTATATATCGATACGAATGACGTCGGTCAATATTTTGATTCATTCGGACGGGCACCAGTGCGATATCATCTAGAGTTTTTAAAAAGAAATTGTAAATGATGGAACTGGAATGTTGATAGGATTCAGAATGAGTGGACTTCAGTTTGTGGCGAATATTGCTTAATGTATTTGCTATATAAGTTTCAGGTATTTTCAATGCATAGTTTTACGAGTATATTTACAGAGAACACATTGTACAACGATATTTTCGTGGATGAGATGTTTCGCTCCTATTTTATAGATTTATTTTATAAGTAATAAGATTTTGTATTTTGTAAATAAAAATTTTAACAAAATTAGGTAATGTGTTTTATTGATGAGTCAGATTAGTGTAGATAGGAACAAAGGAGTATAATACAATAGCGCCACGCTGAGGAAGAATAGATAATGACGGTATTCAATGAACAATAGACAAGTAGATAAGAACAATGGAGCGCTAATGACGGTTAAGGCCTTCACCGGATATCAATTAGATAAGAGTTAGTTTATCCTTTTTTTCATTAGTGATTATCATCTCCGGAACCGTGCATCCTACGTAAAAATGGACCGCAGATTCGTGATCAGAGCATACCAAAACCTTTTTTTTTTCGAGTCGACGAACGTCGTACTTGTACCACTTCTGACTCAGTGAGCCAGAACTGGTACAACGTAACTACTATTGGGAACCATACCCAATGAGATGATCATATATCAAGTGAAGCTTTAAATTAAAACATTAAATTATTCTCATTGCATTTGTTAATATGTAAAGTTACAGATTGTAGTTGTACTCTCAATTAGGTACGAGTATAGTATTGTTTCATTCTCACGTGACGGTAATACTCTGTGATAGACAAAGTCTTTGATTATTTGAAGGAATAGATGAAGTAGGATCCGGAACACCGCTCTGTGATAGACACAAAGTCTTTGATCTAATGGAGAGTAAGGTAAGGAACTTAGGACCATTGCTCCGTGACAGGCACGAAGTCTCTTTATTTGACGGGAAAATAGGGAACTGGGTTCTGAGCGGTCATGAAAGCCGTGTCCCAGCAGAGTGAGATTCACCATTTAAGTATCGGTTTGTATGGATCTTTTTTTTATACACAGTATGACCTATGGTGTTGTTAGGATTTCGGATGACTAACACATCTAGGAAGGCTAAGGAATTATTTGCCTCTAATTCCATAGTAAATTGAATTTTAGAGTTTATGGAATTAAGATGTTCTAAAAATGCAGTTACTTTGTCTGATGGTAAAATAGTGAAAGTATCGTCTACATACCGCTTGTAGAACCTTGGGGTAACAGGTGCAGTAAGGAGGGCTTTCTCCTCAAAGTCTTCCATGAATATATCGGCGACAATGGGAGATACAGGTGAGTCCATCGCAACACCATCTACTTGCTTGTAAAACTCTTCCTTCCACAATATATAGCCAGATATAAGGCAATGTCTTAGTAGTACTGCATATTCTGGTGGCATATTATTTTCATCTAGTTTCCTAGTTGCAATTGAGATGCAGTCTTCAACAGGTAGGCATGTAAATAGAGACTGAACATCAAAACTGACCATGGTTTCATTGTCAGCAAGACGTAGGTCTTTTATCTCACTGACAAAATGGTATGAATCCTTAGTATGTGCTCTTGTGTGTCCTCTAAGTGGTGATAATATTTCACCTCAGTCCCCCGTGACCATGGGTACTGGAAAGCACCCGAAACGTCGGGTATTAAAATTAATATAAATAAAACGCGATAAAATCCGTAAAAGTAGTTTTAATCAACGAGTATATCGAGTTCTCAGGGCCGGATTGACAGTTGGTGGGGCTCTAAGCAGTGAATGATTTGGGGCCCCTTATTTTTTTTTTGTTATTTAATTTAATTGTTAATAATTTTTTTTTTGTTTATGAATGCATAAGCAAGACAGAATTATTTTTATGTTGTATATTTATTGAAAAAGCAATATTCAAACTAATTTCATTTTTAAATTTATTTACAAAATTACTTAAAAACGATCGCTTACAAGTTAAACCTTCTTTTTTCTGCACGTTTGACGAGCAAAATCTTCTATCAATTTGTCAAAATTCATGTGACGCATTACATGCGATTCGATTGACAGAAGAGCCAACGAACATAATCGATCTTGTCGCATCGTCGTCCTTAAGGGCTATTAAGCACTGTCGACTAGTCGCCGGCGACACAGTCCCTAAGCGACCGAAACATGGGAAACAGGGCCCGGAGACCGAGCCGAGCGACAGTATTCCAAGTACATTCGTGCAGAATGGACGTTGAAGAACTTGCAATAGTAGCGGCGCTACTAATTATAAAAAAGAAAGACAAATAAAAAAAAATCAAAAGAGTATTGGGTGCATCCTTTGTTAGAAGAACGGAGGTCAAAGGGAATGTTTAAAATATTTTATGAAGACGTTAAAAAATATCCTCGTAAATTTTTTAATTATGCAAGAATGTCTGTGAGTTCGTTTGATGTCTTATTGTGTCTTCTAAAACCACATATAACTGGCATAGATACAAATATGCGACCATGTATTTCTCCGGAAGAAAAACTTTTTATAACACTAAGGTAAGTGACAATTCAAATAAAATTCATTCCTAACAATTATTTTTTACGGGATTTTAACACAATTTACATTACATTCCCGGACACATCTATCAGCCAAACCTAGTGTTTAAAGTGTTGACAATCCCTAGCTAAAAATAAATGTTAAGTGGTGCAATAAGTTTTTATGCAGTTTTTTACGAAAACGATGGCCAGTAAATCAGCTTCACACCTGCAAAAACTTATTGCTCCTCCTAACATTTATTTTTAGCTGGTCTCCAGTCAAAACTTAAAACTCAAGGTGGGCCGATAGATGTGTCCGGGAGTGTGTTTAGAGTTACAGATAATGCCATCCACGAAGATGCGCGGTTAAATTTAAATAGAGCATCTTTCGTGCTGTTCATAATACTCTTTCCTGATTAGTCAATTTCTATTAGTGTGCGTTTGCATTCATCGATAATTAGCGTGTATCGACAGATGTTTAACACATGCGGAAGATAGCACACATGCATTTGAACAAAGAGTGGGGCGCGTCTTCGTGGATGGCACTATCTGTAAGTCTACTCTTCGATGACATAATTTAAAAATATACGGTAAATAATTATAAAACATGTATTTTTTTAAAGTGCTTAATGAAATCAATATTATAAACGAACGCACAACAAAAGGAAATATTCAAAATAGATCCAAAATGTCAGAATCTTGCGAGGTATTTGAAGTGACAGTAGAAAATCGCGACTCTGGGCGTTCACGTTCTGAAGGAGTTGAAGTTGGTAGCGTATAATAATGTTGTGCTTCAGGGCGTGATTGTTGACTTGGTGCTGTTGAACGCCCGGCCTCCGGTGTGAAGTAACCACGCTCATACTCGTACTCATTAAAATTTCGCCACATTGTGTTTGGATATATATTATTTTGAGTAGAGGATCGGAATGATTCGATTACACTGATTAATTGAATTTTCGCAGCTGACTTTTTGTGCTCCGGAATTGCCCTAAATGATGATAATAGGGACATCAGGAACATTCTGTCCTCATCTTGTTCCAAAATATCCTCCTTATTTTTGCGAGTTTCAATACACTTGTTTAATGTGGTTAACAGTTCGCTTGTGCCATCATCTGACGTTTTTTTCTTTTTTCTTCCGACTATATTTTCTCTCGAGTAAGGTCCTAAAGGTTCTTGATCATTTGTCAAATGTTCTTGTTCAGCAATGTTACTCTCTGTGTTCAAATTACCAACGGTATTCTTCAAAAATAACAGCTGATTATAATAAATATAGGGAGTTTTATGGGAAGCAGCAGATCCGCTTTTAGTATTTTTTAATCTTCGTACTTCTCGCGAAAAGCAGCTTCTTATATTTTTCCATTTCTTTTGAAGTGAATGACCTGTAAATAATGTATATATTTAAATTATTTTTTAATTCCAGATATCTTGGAAGCGGTTGTAAATTTGTAGATTTACATTACTCATACAAACTTGGGATTTCAACTATAGCTGAAATAATAAGAGAAGTTTGTCATTTTATATGGGTTGTACTAAAAGACATGTGTTTACCGCAACCGACAAAAGAAAATTGGTTAAAAATCGCAAAAGATTTTCATTTACGGGCCAATTTTCCAAATTGCATAGGTGCCGTAGATGGTAAGCATGTAAGAATTATAAAACCATACAACAGTGGATCATTGTGTTATAATTACAAACACTTCTTTTCTGTAATTTTGCTTGCCATTTGTGACTCTGACTATAAGTTCATATACATAGACGTTGGTTCCTATGGAAAGGATTGCGATTCAACTATATTTACAAATTCAACGTTTTATCAAAAGCTAATGAACAATGATTTGCAAATACCCGAACCTAAGCCCATTTCATCGACAAACCCTATACCAGTACCGTTTGTTATTGTGGGTGACGAAGCATTTGGACAAACTGACAAAATTATGCGACCGTTCGGTGGATTAAATTTAACAACAAAGAAAAAAATATTTAATTATAGGCTTTCTCGTGCACGACGCCATATTGAATGTTCATTCGGCATATTAGCAAACAAGTGGCAGATTTTTCACAGACCTATCAACGTGAATTTAGATCTAGTATCATGCATCATCAAAACATGTTGCGCTCTTCACAACTATGTCCGAGAAAGAGACGGATATAAATTTGAAGATACCCTGAGCATTCCTGGCTTTAAAGAAGTCCCAAACGGTTTCCAAAGAGCTACGCGACGTGGTGCATCATACAGAGATGTATTTGCTGATTACTTTACAACTGAGGGTCAATTATCTTGGCAGATGAGCAGTATTAATTAATAAAAAATAAATGGCATTTATTACTTACCTGAGTTTTTTTTTCTTCGTCTGATAATTCTTCACCTCCAAATAACTCCACTATTTCTTCCCACTGTTTTTTCTTCAAATCCCGATTAGCATATTCCTCACTTTGTAAATCCCAAATAGCTTTTCGGGATTGTATTTCCGGTATAAATTTATCCGTGTCAAAACTCATTGTGCGCGGCCGTCCGGTCGTTACGACAGTTGCTTGCAGTGTGAATGCTTTCATTTGAAACCGTGCTCCTATTGGTCGCCAGCGACCGGCAGTTGCCTGTGCGTCGCCACTGCGCGGCGAGTCGCCGAGTCGCCCGGGCAACCGGTGACTAGTGCGTAAACACCTATTTAAACTATACAATATTACAGTCGTCGACAACTGAGTCGCCGGCGACTAGTCGACAGTGCGTAATAGCCCTAAAGGATTTTTTTCCCTTTTCAACTGCGAAAAAGAACGCTCTCCAGAACAATTTGTTATCATTAATGATAAAAATATTCTGAAGCAGATTTCCAAATTAGGGAAGACTGTTTGAAGTTGATCATTCACAATGATCTTGTAAAAATCAGTGAAATTCGCACTAATACTTTGATCTTTTTCCATTTTCAAACGAACGTACTGGTGAAATTGTTGTAATTCATCAGCAAGATTTGAATTTAAATCCTCAGGATACGATGCGACAAGCAATTTAACCTTGGTAAACAACTCATCGTTGGTTAAATCCATTTATAATAAAAACGAAAACTTGTCTGCCAGCTTTTCGTCAATCTCGCCTCTCGTTTTCATCTCGACTTGAAGAGTATCGACGATGAAATAAAAAGTCGAAACGCGAAATTTGTCCCTTGCAGATAAAACAGCATCTTCAGCTGGATTATTATCTACTATCCGAGTACGTCTTAGGTTGCCATTTCCCCAATAATCATCGTCGGGCAAAATGTCTTTGGACTTGTTCTCGAATTCGTCAAATCTTTCTCAAAATGTAAATAAAAAGCCAACGTTTTATACAAATCACTGCATACTTGCAAATTAAGTTCTGCATTTTGAAGGGCTTGTGATATCCGATAATATTGATGCAAAATATCATTCCACAACGTCACCATGAAAACAAACTCAAACTCTTGCATGTTTTTTGCAATATTCATTGCTTCTTGTCTAGTTTCCCCTTTTCGATCAATATCTTCCGAAAAAGAATCTAACGCGTCGAGAATTTGAGGGAACGATTTTAAAATTGCATCTGTGGCAACACCGCGTGTTTGAGAGTTTCTTCAAAACTTTTTCATCATTGATGCTTTAGCACTTTCCATCTTTGTGTAGAAGCAGAAAAAATACGTAAAGTGTTTGCACCAACGAAAAAAGTTGACAGCCTCCAAACAACAATCGACTGCACTACGACCGACAAGATTCAATGAATGTGCTGCACACGCAATGTATATTGTATATGGGTTGAGTTGTAAATTGAGTCAGGGGGTTTTCATGCTGGTCTACCTTTCCGGTGATCCTGTTATGGAATACGGGTACGCGACCCCGGCTCCTGTTATTCTCATACCTTTCCTGCCGAGATAACAGTATCCTTACACCTACGCTCCTACCCCCAACCTTCTTTTTCCTTTTCCCAAAATGGTAGCTTCTTCTACCAACAATAACATACCCAAAGAGTATGAATAGTACGAGTTGTGGGATATATGACAGGGCTAGGGCGTACCCCGCAGTGGACGCGCAGGGGCAGCACCCGGCTCCTGTGGGAAGTGGGCAAGGGTTGTCGCACCTTACGGAGCGGGTGCGACGTAAGAGGCGAGCCCGGAGAGAGAAGAATGTCAGAGTGAGGTTTGCAAGCTGGAATGTAGGTACGATGACTGGAAGAGGAAGAGAGTTAGCAGATGTTTTGAAACGACGAAGAGTGAATGTTGCCTGCTTGCAGGAAACAAAATGGAAGGGTTATTGCCCTTCCATTTTGTTCAGCAAGAGAGATTGGGGAAGCATACAAGTTTTATTATTGTGGAAGTGATGGGAAGCGAAATGGAGTAGGAGTTGTGTTAGATAGTGGAATGAAAGAACGAGTGACAGATGTGAAAAGAGTAAATGACAGAATGATAGTTGTTAAATTAATGATTGAAAACAAAGTAGTGAATGTTGTAAGTGTGTATGCTCCGCAAATAGGCTGTGAAGAGAGTGTGAAAGAGAAGTTTTGGGAGGAATTTGATTGTATGATGATGGGAATACCTGAGAGTGAGGATGTTTATATGGGAGGAGATTTTAATGGACATGTAGGGAGAGTGAATGACGGGTATGAAAGAGTACACGGTGGATGGGGGTACGGAGTGCGGAACCGTGAGGGGGGAAGTTCTTCTGCAAGCAGCATGTGCTTTCGACCTGGCTGTAGTAAACACGTGGTTCCAAAAACGAGATCAGCATCTTGTTACTTATAAAAGTGGCCACCACGCGACACAGATCGACTATTTTCTGATAAGACGGAACCAAATCAAGAGTGTAAAAAACTGCAAAGTGCTTCCAGGTGAAGACTTAGTATCCCAGCACCGAATTCTGCTGGCTGACATCTGCTTGACTGTTCGCCTCAACAAACATAAGGATCATCCCCCCACCCAAAATAAAGTGCCATTTGTTGCATAAGGGGGAGTGTAGCGGCGCTGTCGTCGCCGCCACAAGCGAAAACACACCGAAGCCTAAATCGCGCTATCAACATTCCGAATCATAAACAGTATATATAGAACATCTCCGAATTATCACACGGAGCGTTGGCCGCTCCCCGGGCACAACACCTTGCCCGGCGGGAGATCTCCCCTTTTCTTTCTACGGCCACAGTGGTGACCATCCGACGTGATCTGAACACGCAACCAACAACTTTCGGAAACTTCAAGCTTCATCAACGTCATAGAACACCCCACCCATTCGCTCCCGAACAGATATCATCTGCAGTCTTCATATCCTGCAAGCCATCTAGCTTCACAAGGTTCATCGCAGCACTGGAATAATAATGCTTCCTGTTCCTTCAAGCTACTCTCTGTGCCATACAGTGTTCGGCACGGCTCTGAGCCTTACTGCTCGCCTCTGCTTCATGGCACTCTCGCAGATTACTTGCCTTCTTCTCGACTCACCGCAGACTACAAGGCAATCCACTGGCACTTGCACATTCGTCGGCAACAAGGCTGCACTAACGACCTCTGGTCTGAGCAGGGGGGTGATGTAGCGGCGCTGTCGTTGCCGCCACAAGCGAAAACACACCGAAGCCTAAATCGCGCTATCAACATTCCGAATCATAAACAGTATATATAGAACATCTCCGAATTATCACACGGAGTGTGAGCCGCTCCCCGGGTAGAACACCTTGCCCGGCGGGAGATCTCCCCTTTTCTTCCACGGCCACAGGGAGTATGCAAGTGAATTTAGAGAGCTAGTTGTAAACAAGATGATAGAGATGGGTGATATGGAAGGAATGAGTGTGAATGAGTGCTGGAAGGAAATGGCTGATTGTATCCGAAGTGTGGCAAGGAAGGTGTTAGGAGAAACAAAAGGGAAGCGTATGATAGATAAGGATGGGTGGTGGTGGAGTGAAAGTATTAGAGAAGTTTTGAGAGAAAAGAAAAATGCCTTTAAAGAATGGCAGAGCGTAGAAGACCAGAATGAATCCATAAAAGAAAGTAAGAAAGGGGCGTATAAAGAATGTAAGAAGAGAGCGAAGAAGGAAGTTGCTATTTGTAGGGCAGAGGCGCAAGATAAATTATATCGGTCCCTTGAAAGCCCCGAAGGTCAAAAACGACTTTTTCAAATTGCAAGAGCGAGAGAAAGGAATGGAAGAGATGTTTCACATGTAAAATGTATAAAAGATGATTCTGGAAGGATTTTGACTGACGATGAAAGTATAAAGAAGCGATGGAAGGAGTATTTTGAGA